TCCAAAAGTCTTAATGAAAGCAAGACAATGGTTATTTTTGGCAGGGGACACCGCATGAAATGTGATATGCTAAGAAACTACGATTTCCTAAACTTGAAAACATAAAAAGAAAATGTAGACTTTAAAGGATCTGAGATTCACTGTGGCTAACTGATCAAAGACCTCTGCTCAATGCCCAGCTGCCCAAGTGTATGAAGAGGGAAGGATGGCCACAGGGCTTACAGGGGTCCAGCGGTGTGCACCAGGTGCTCACGTGGGGCTGAGGGCACTTCTTCGGAGGGACTGGAAGACTATGTCACTGAAAAGAAAATATGTAACTTTTTATGCATATTTTAAATCCAGTGGAGAAAAGAGATGCATTGTCAAAAGATGTTAAAAAGTATGCAGAGCTCCAGTGTTTCTGGCACACTACAGCCCAACGATGACTAAAGCTGAGAGGAAACAAAGCTCATTTTATCTCAGGCCCTGAAACACTAGGAAAGGTGTCAAGGTGTATTTCCTTTGGAATATAATTCTGCCTTCAAATGGAAGACAAGACTGGGACAATTTCACTGTCTTTAAAGAGATATATCTCTCTGGCTACTCTTAAAGCTTTAATGACCTAACTTCTCAGGATTTAATAAAAAGAGCTCCTGAAAAACAGTTTTTACCCGGTATCAAGCATCCTTTAAAAAAACCCAACTGTCCTGGAGTGGGTATCTCCAGATTTCCTATGACAATACGCAGGCACATTCTTCCAATCACACTGTCAGAGCCAGTGTCCGGAAGAACACGGAAATGCCTGCTGGAAGCACACATAGCATTGAATCTAACAGGCTAGGAAATAGTGTTTTGACTCAGAAACAGATTTTTACGTGCTTTCATGTCATACCCTGCAAAAATACTCAGCGCCTATGATAAGAAGGCCATAAAGATCTATGTGGGATCACTTTGTTCGTATGTTCACAGCATGTGATCGAGCATAACTATGAATGTGCTTGGAGGACAAAAATGTTACTTTAAGATTAAAACTGATTAGCTCCCCTGACTGTATCAGAGCAGAATAATAGTAATTTTCAAGGTGCCCATCAAATGGAAAAAAACATTAACCTAAAAAATCTAAAGAAAAAGAAATCAAAAACATATTTTAATATCTTTTCATAAGGGAAATAATAAATCGCTATTTGAACTAGACAAGTCGAAAATCCCGTATCATCTATTATTATGGCACATTCTATGATGTATAGTTTGCAATTCACATCATACCACATATACAAAGAAACAATTTGTAACACTCCAGCTTCAGACAAGATTAACGGAAGTGGCAGCTCTGAAGGAAGAGATGTTGTATGGAACGTACTATTTGCCACTGTTTGGGAAACATAAAATATTTGGAAAGAGGGACACTATTCTGAAAGAACATAGCCCATAATCCAAGGGATGAGGATTAGTTATAGAAATTTTGGGGAGTGTTCATGATATAGGCATTTCAGTGGTATTAATGCAGGGAAGGAAGAAGAAACAAAACATGCTGTTTATTCTATTGCTACAATGACTGTGGAACCCCTGACTGCTGCTTCTAGAATAAAGAGCTAGTTTTGATGTACTTAAAAAAAAGCCTGGGATTTCAGTTTTTAATTTTAGATCTGATTTCCCCAGTCTAAAGAGCCAAAACGATACTGACGTGAATGCCAATTTCCAGGTCTTCGCTGAACACCAGGAAGCATTCTGGGAATAAAACTAAACTGGAGAATGCTGCGTGGTTGCTGGGTATTCAGGCAATCCATCCCAGATGCCATGTCAGACAGGTCTCCTGAAGTCCTTAGGGGAAGTACAACTAATTCTAGGTATTCTGCCAACACAAAGGTGCGATACAGAAGGAAAGAGCAAGGAGAGATGGACCCTCACCTAATAATGAACTGGAAAAAAACCCTGCCAAAATCTTAAAAAAAATAACAGTCATGCTACAAAGAAAAGGGAATGCACACAAAATCTATGGGCTGGTAAAGCAAAAGCCTTTACCTCCATATGGTTATAGATGTCTGCAGAGTAATAGGTAAGCCAAAAGGCTATGTGGCTGCAAACATTACTGCTCAATTTTAAACTGCCAGGCACAAAAAATTTGCACAGAGCTGTAAAAAACTCTGCTTTATGAAAATGCAGAACAGCACTCTAATGCAAATTTTAATATTAAAAATGTGCTCAAAATATAACTCCCTGAAAGAGCTCATCCTGCATCAGCTTATTATTCTGTAAGTCTGTATTAGCCTATAATATAATTGTCGGTCTATTTGTTAGTTCACATCTCTGTCTTCCAAAAAGCAAACCAAAAAATGTCCGCTGCCAGAACGTACTGAAGCATGTAGAAAAGAGAACAAATAATGGGAAAGCATAAAAGAACAGTCTAGGCCATTGTGTGATGACATGAATGACATCTTCCCATGGATGCCAGAAGCAATAATATGCTGCCATTTGACCAAGCAGAGGTATTCCTTCTGGGACTACTCAGAACATGATTTTCATCTCACTGTTTCCACTCCAGTTCCCATTCCATATAAACAAATGCAAAAATACTTGCAATAGTATATGCTGTGAGATTGCATAGTTTTATTTATAGATCATAGATCATGTTGCTTCTTTAACTGTACCACTGACATCTCTGTTACTGTTTTATTAATTTGATATTTAAACATTATGGAATGATCTTGGCAATAGTTAAACAGTCTAAGTCTGTAGATATTCCTTTATATAAATATGTATATATGCATGTGTAAGTGTATATTTATATATCCATATATACACACATATTTAAAAAAAAAAAACAACACCCAAGAGGTTCAGCCAAATTAGGGTAAGTTATTAATATGACATAGAGTATTTACTTGGACAGCTGGATTTTATGGTTTACTGGATGGATGTGGTATCGGATGTTCCAAAATAAATCAAATTTACACCTATCCATGTACTTTAAAATGTCATTAAACGTCGGAAAATAGTAACAGGGAAAGACATATTCGATTTTTTATCCCTCAAAGCCATGTTGCTTCTTTTTTTTGTAGAATGAAAGCAGACTTATCCATGTGAGCACTCTGTATGATCTTAAAATGTACACAGTCTGCTCTCCTTTTTTTGCTGATGCATTTAAAATCTCTGTTTTATATTGAAATAATGCACCACGTTATGCAACTGCCTCAAACTATCTTAAGGTACTGCACTCACATGCGAAAGCATGGTGATAGCCCGATGCAAATGTGCTGTATTTCTACTAAAATTATTATCCTCATGTCCACCTCTCATGCTCTCAAATACAACTTTTACAAATAAAATAGCATAACCCTATTCCCCAAAGCAGGTGGGCTAGTCGAGGTCCCATCCTCTCTCCTTGCACAGCCTTTCTAGCTCACTTGCACCTTTCCTCCAGTCTTGTCCAGTTAAGCTGAGGCACTTTCCCTCGGTTCCCAGTGTCCTTCCTTCTGCGTAGGTACTCTCACGTCTGCTCAGCTGGATCATGGCCTTTTGTTGTCTGATCCACTCACTTTCCCCCATCTCTCTCTACTCCTTCACCAGTTCAGCAAACTGTCCCTTCCTCCAGCTACCACCCGTTCGCTCCCTGCCAGCTTCTGGTTTCACCATCCAAGGGCCCACTACAGATGTTGACCACGGCATGTATGAACATAACGGAGAAATGATGAGATCAACTCAACTTCTCAGAGATGAGGAAGGTTCAAACATGTTCAGCTAGGAAGGAATCTCCAGATATTTTTAGCTGTTAAATTGCTATGTGAGATGTGCAAACCGCAAAGCCTTTATGAGGGCTTAGAAACTTGTTTTCATGGCTTTTCATTTTCATGTCCATGAAACAAAGATTTGAGCTTCTGCTCCAGGGTGCTGTGACACCAGAGCATTTCAAAGAAAGCCCTTGACAATTGAAAAATTGAAAATGTGAGCGCAGCAATACATCTCCCCAGCCCCTTCCTTGGAAACACCTCATGGCTTCAGTCAACATTTTCCAAAAGAATTTCGGTTAAAAAAGAAAGCTTGTAAGGATTAAAGAACACACTTGGTGTGGAAAATTCCAGACCAAATAATTAAAGTAAGGCTTTATTAGTGCTAGCTAATAAAAAAGGGATTATATAAGGAGATATTTGAGAGAACCTTACAACAGGCATTGTGGCCAGCCATGGTAAAATTAAGGGGATATGACAAAAGAACTTGTAATGAATAAATACGTTTTGCTGTATTTACAGCCTTCAAGGCATACATCCTCAGAAAAAAATGCAAGTTCAGCAGCATCAGTGTAAACTTCCCAGCTGTGGCCCACCTACACCACTGAGCCCCGTCCCCTCATTGCCCCCAGGCATTCTTTCTGGCTGGAACTGCCGTATCTGTCTACTAACACTTCCCTAGGACACATGGTTGAATCTCCAAACCAACACTGGACGTGAAAGGCTTTTGATTAGCAATGGTCAGTTTTCTCTATGAATGTATGTTCTGTGGCAAGAATTCCCAAATTTAATTTGTTCAAGTGCCACCCTTGGCAGAGATGACCGTGGTGACAGAAGCTTAGAGATACACATGCACATACAGACACAGGAGAAGGCATTTCCATAACTGCTTTGAAGTAGCGTACACAGCACTAGTGGCATTATAACATAGCTTGGGTTGCAGGGACAGGTGGAAAATCAGCAGTTGTTGCCAATGATTCTTTGTCAGTGGCCAACACCAGAATGCTTTGAGAGGCTACAAAGATAATCCATCTAGGACTGGCAGTGCTGTTGTCTTGGAAAATTTTCCTCTCCTTTTCCAGACAGACCTGCATTTGCTGAAATTGCAAGCACATCTTGAGATTTTCCATCACACAAAAGAAGGAACTATATATAACTCATCACACAGCACTAACTTTGTATCCTCAGATTCAGAGCTAGTTAACCACAAAAACGTACTCAAAAGCTATGTTCAGTTGTGATTTGTCTTGACGTAAGTTTTAAAATGCAGTATAGAGAAGAAATTCAGTTCCCCACCTTTCTTGTAAGTGGCACTTCAATAGGGACGGGCACAACTTCCGCAAGCAGACAGCCATAAAATGCTACCATGAAAGCAGCAGGATCATTGTTAGGAAATACGAGTGTTACCTGAAACAGAGAGACATATGTTAAAAATGTTTTAACCCAGGTTTCAGATAACGATAATCGGAGTTTACATGCTTCCTTTTGGAGAGAGATGATTACTGAAACATTTCTATGATAACTATTCAAATACCTAATGAGAGATGAATGAAGAATTAGAAGGAAATTATTCTGATAGATATTCCTTTTGTGAACATTTTCACTTACGATGAAGTTAAATATTTTCATGCTGCATTGTTTCCTACATTGACAATACCTTTCATCTAGTTCTCAATTTACTGATTGCTTTACAGATGTTAAATAACCACGTAAATGGAATTAATAGAATTTTACATTCTAATTTAATAATTTGCTTGAAGTTACCAAAACCAAAGTGGATCTGTGACCAATTCAAATCACCCAGACTTATCATTATGTCAATCACGAACACATTGTTTTGTCTCCCTGTGTTTTGCCTCATACAACAATTTCATTTTAGGATTGGACTGTTGTCCAAGTATAGAAGTTTCTGTGTACTTAAAGAACACAAATAGCTGGTATCTAGAGAAGCAAATGTCACATCCAGAAGCTGTATGTTGGCCATACAGCATGCCAGCCTAGGTCTGGACTTGTTAAACCTCACAGCTATAGGGCTAGGGCTAGGGAACTATTCAGATAAAAGAATGCCAAGAAAAGACAAAATATCATAGCAAATCACCTGTATGCTCACTGGGCGCCTTTCCTCCCCCAATGTGCTGAACTGTGCAGCTTACTTCTGTGGGCACTGCAGACAATGGCTTAGATATTCCAGGGCAAAGGGGAAGGAGAGGCGAGAGTGCACAGTCTCGCTGAGGATCCAGCAACTTATTGAGTCCACGACTCTCCTTGCAAGGGCAGGGAAGACTACTGCTCTCACTTACTGGTGAACAACCTCAGTGGCTAGATCCTGTCTACATTTTTGTTTTGGTTCAGTCAGATGCACATTCTCAGCTCATGTCTTAAACAGCTGTAATGCAGCTGGTAACTGTCTTGCACGGTCAACTGAAGTGGCATGCAAAGGCATGGCGAATGACTTTGAACTTAATTTTCTTGGACTTGCACACAGGATCAGAGTGTATTATTACAGCATCTTAAAATTTGCTGAAACTACTTAGTAACTCTTGAGTTTTGATTGCTTTGACATCCACAGAAGTTCTGTGTCTCAATCTCTTGAAGTAAAATCATCATGTTTTCATATACACTCCAAGGCTCAGTTACTGGAGATTAAAAGTGTTTCCAATGATTTCATATGGCTTCAAAGATAGCCGCCTCCCATAGATTAACTTCATTTCTTCAAACTAGAAGAAATCTAACCAACCTTGTCCAAAATATCTCTGTTTTTAAGCTGAAGCCTGTAACTTCAGAACTGTTTAGAGAAACTTTAGAGAAAATACATTGCTACTTTATCTGTATGCTTGCACATAAAACAATCCAACTGCTGGATTTGGCTGTGCAAAGCTTACTGTATGTATTCTCCACGCACATACCATAAATAGCCTCAGGGGAAATGGAAAGGAAGGGACTTTGCTAGGTGCATTGAGGGGATGGTAGAATTTGCTGAGCCCAGCAAACATCTGAAAGATGTTGAAAGATCCCAAAAGATAATTTGAGGATTGTTGGGTTTTGTGTTGGTCTTTGTTTACATACACGCAGTGAAGGTTTGGCTGGGAATCTTTGCAAAGGAGCTGACAGAGGTGAAAAAATCTCACTGAAGTCCAGTGGGGATGAGGCATTAACTTTCCCTCCAAAAAACATTAATCACTAACAGACCTGTACCAAATAAATAAATAATGTCTGTAAAAGCAAAAAGGGATAAGGCTGAAGGAAAACAAAACATACAGTGTATATTACCAGATGAGAATCTGGTTATCTAGTAGATATTTCAGCAAGCAAGCTTAATTTCCAGGCAGCTGTCTGGAGTGACACAAGGTTAAATTTCTGAAGTTACTGTAGAAGGCAAATGCAGTTTGCCATGTACTATAGTAATATCAGAAATAGGGAATCAAATGCAGGCACATTCACCTATTTCTTGGCTCAGACAAAGAACCTAAGGAGTGATGTAATGGTAGTCAAGAAAAATAGAGATTGTATTGATAGATGATGCTTTTAAAGGGAAGAAGGCCTTTCTGAATTTTATATAATATTAACATAAGGAAACAATTACACTCTCATTTAGAAAAGACCAGAAATAGATGTCTGTATTTCATTTAGTATTTAAAAACTACCTTTAACTGTTGTCACACAAAATACATTACTTAGAATAAAAAGCCATCTTCAAAGAGGTCAGAAAGCTTTTATGTTATTACAACAGGAGGATAACAGTCAGAATAACAGCCTAGAACATCAGAAGTACAGTAACACCTCATCTTCAACATGAAGTTGCTTCAAATATCATGTTGCTGTTACGCAGGGATGCTAGGCAAGATGTTTTTACAACACAAAGCATATGCTTTCAGCACTCGGCTATAAACATTTGTTTCACTGTAATCTAGGTGGACTTATTTTAGAAGAGCTGCAATTTGTTGTTTATGTGTCCTGCACTAGCTAAACTTCTGGCTTTCAGCCTGAATTATCCACAAATCCTTTCTTAATGTTAGGAGATGCCAGTGGCTGCTGCAGTAAATGAATACGAAGATGGCCAGTTAGCACACAATAGATAGGGAGAGATGTACGCTGCCCATACGTGAACTTTATTCCTTTTGGAGCTTTCTGGGTGGATAGTTTTTATGTGTACGCTTGACCAACTTGTTTCTTCTGCTGTTGCTTAGAGACACACTTGTATATCAAGTAAAAGAGATTCTTCAGATCCTACTCCTGGCTGAATGCCATTGTAGGAAAGCAATTTAGAGTAAGGATCTGGAGATCCTTTAGTTAAATTCTTTATGGTTTATTTCAAAAAGAAACATAGGAAGGATTGTCAAGTTTCATTTTTTAAATTTTTTTTTCTTCTTTTTTCTTTTGAGAAGCATTATTGCACGGTCTCATTTTTGAAGCCCTAAGAAATGTGTAATGCAAACAGACGTGTTTCTCATATGTGGCACAAGAGGACCAAGTGACCCAGCAGCTTGAGAATTGCTATCAGACCCTGGGGGAGGAAGACTTAATCCCACCCTCACAACTCTAAGCACTAAGGCAGGACTAAAATTCACATTTCTGACAAATTTGTTCTGGAATCTCTATTCCATGGCTTAAAGCCAACCTGGAATGGGACCATGGAAATTCCTATACACGCTCTGGCAGAGAAAAGGGGTAGCAGGCTCGGCCAGCCTTGACAGAGGAAGTGGTAGGTTTGTAAGTACATCAGTAGCAAAACCAGGATGTTCTTGTCTTCATTTAACAACTTCAAGTGTTACCTCTGTAACCCTTGCTCTCTGTGGACTTTATCCACTCATCCAGATTCAGCCTCTAGCAGTAGCTGCATCAGAGTCAGGAACCAGGAATGGAAATACTCTCCATGCTACCAGTCAGCGTAATTTATTTATTTAAGTTGCTGCCAAAATGTGCTTACTTTGCTTGTCTTTGTCCTCCACAATGCTTCTCTTGTTTCTACTGTCTCAACAACTACAAAGTCATTAGTAAGTTTTTTACCCACATGACACCTCCAGGCTCCATAAGCAAGCTTTTGCTAAACAGACTGCTGTTCTATGTCCAAAAATCCCTTTCCATGGGAATGTTTATTGTTGATGTTGCCACAATTTCAAGTTACCATTCAGTGAGTACCAGCTCAGGTCATTTATTATGCAATTCAAAACACCTGTCTGACTGATCAGTCTTTTTCTGAGTAAAAGGCAGATTTCACGCCCCCAACATTTCACTTCATAATTTCCTCTGAGCACCCCAAATACCTCATTCTCTCTTTGTCAACGTGGGATCTGAATTATTAGTAATTAAAAATCATTGAGATAGATACTCACCCTGTCTCCAGGTCGTACCATTGGTTCTTGTTTTGTGCCTAATTTATGTAGTATATTGTAAGCAACCTTCATACTTCTGGTCCAAAGTTTGCCTATTAACACAAAATTTGTGAAATTAATTTTAAAATTCTTCTTATGTTTTCAAGATTATTAAAGGGAAAGAATACCTAAGCAGTGAAAAAAAATAGCAGGAACATGATTAGTTTTCCAACATGACAACAGTTTATAACAACACTACCAGGACTAGTTGAAATATTTAAATACTCATCAGAAGCTTTCTCTGAACTTCTATTTTTCAAGACAGCAGCATTTTAAAGAAGAAAATAAAAAGTAAGAATAGTTTTCTTCATGGCAGAAGTAGTTTTCTTACTTTGTGGCTGCAACATCATCAAGCCCGGACAGATCATTGTAACACCCTTAGTTGTAGCAAGCTGGACAAGCCGTGTTTTTCAGCCCAGGTTGACCTCCAAGGGTATCACTCAGGCTTCATAATCGCAATTCCCCCATCCCAAGCCACCAAGGCAAAAAGGAAAGGAGTCCCAAGAAACAGAGAGAAGGGAAAAAAACCCAACAGACAGAAAACAACCTGCAGCCAAAGGGGCACACCGAAGCAGCAGGGACCCTCTGATCCTTAACATATCCTTATGCTCCATTTCACTTTTAATTCTGGGCCTTCTTCCATTTAACTTGGCTTTTTTTCTCACCCCGTCCCATATCCTCCCTTCCCTCAGTTTCATTTCAGTCGCCCCAGGTACCCTTCCTTTTAACCATCTCTCTTCTCCTTTGCTTCATCTCTCCACCTCCGCACTTAGCTAATCCTTATCAAGACCTTTTACCCCAATATTCTTTAAAGAAAAAAGTCTCTCATCAAGAGCTCGTTGGCCACGTTACATGCCTTTCATTAATCCTTCAAGTGACCGGATCTTCCAACTATGCAAGCTCTTTCAGATTGCCTTTGTTTAGAGACCTTGTTACTTCCATGTGAACAATACTGAGCGTAACAGCCCTTGTTCTTGGCTGGCCCCTAGGTACTGTCTTTAAGTAGTATTCAGTCTGACAGTAACAAATCTTTAATTCATGCTCACCAATAACTTAAACGATAATAGGTTCTGAC